TGCCATCGGACTAATTACCATTGGAATAGGAAAGGAGTAACAAGAAATAAGAAACAACCTTGTCACAGGAAAAATGTCTGCATCTCTTAGGAATTACAATTTCACACACACACACACACACACACACACACACACACACACACACAACTATTAGACTGATGTTGGACACTCCATCTATCAAATGCAGCCTATTTCAGCTTTGTAATTGTTAGACCTGTCCACTGTATATGATAAGTATCCATATATGAGCTAACTGGCCTTCAGTTCATTCCAAATAAAGTGTTATTACTGGATATATAAGAAATAAAGAAGTTTATTTCCTATTCTTACCTCTTTTGGCTTGTATCCAGAAATTAAGAAGTTCTTATATCTATCTTTTAACCACTTCCCAAGGTTGTATGCCTGCTGTATTCCAATCTGTGTTAGGAATAATATAATATGTAGTTAAATATTTTGAAACAGTCAATAAACTTTTTGATGTTCCACTAAATTAAAAGATCTATTAAATCCTAAAAAAGTTATGCTCTTATTTTGACCTAGGCTTCCTGGTACAGTAAAAAGCACATGCTTAGTCCCAAAACCCCTTTTTATTTCAAAGGGTGTGACTTATGTTCATTCACAGTCCGTAATGAGTCCCAAATAGTAAAGAATCCTATACTGGGCTGCCAAAGTCCTTCAGGATAAGGCTGATAAGCACCCACCTTTATCTTCCTTGACATGCTGCCAAAGACTTAATTGGCAATTAGCTTGGCAAGGCCACACAGAGCAAAGAGTCAAAACAAAGCTTCAGAAGATAAACTGACCAGCACGAACCAAGTTGCTTCCTGCAAAGACTCATGTGCCTTTGCTCCTCCTTTATGTCTTATGGGAGGAGCCAATCACCTCCAAGCCTTACTCCTGAGTCGTTCCTTCTGTCTTCACCGCTTTTGCCTTCTGGCAGCTCTGCACATGTGCGCACTGGGAACAGAGGGAGCCTGTTCCTCTGCCTCTCTGCTGTCCAACTCTGGAGGTTCCGGAGGCAGCACATAACTCACAGACGGCTCTGGCCTTCTCTCTGCCTCCAACGCAGAGTCCTCGTCTGAGCTTTCCTCAAACTCCAGGACTGACCCATGTTCCTCCCCAACCTCCTCATTGTTTGACTCTACTGCCAGCTCCACAGGCCATTGGTGGACCACAACAGCTGTGAAGTTTGGATGAGATATTTCTCTAAGTCAATAAATGTTGAATATTTGAGCATAGCCTTGGACAAAGGAAGCTATGGAAAATGGAATTAAACTATATAATGCTGTATTTGGGTTAATGAACATGTTTTAAGAATATCTATCAAACCTTAGTCAGTTGTCCATATCCCTGTGGCCAGGCATCATCTTTGATTGTATTTTTGGGAAAAGTTGAAAGAGGAGATCTGTCACCATGCCGATAAAGCTGATAAAAGTGTTTGGAGACAATATTAATTGTTAGAGAAACTTGAATTTGATAGAAAGCATCAGAGGTTGGTTGCTGCTGGTTCAGTCTGGATACTCCACCCCCTCACCTGGACACTTCTGTGCATGCGTGTATGGGAGTGCACCCGAACCTGTAGCAAAAAAATTAGTAACCCACCTCTGCAAAGCATGTTATTATAATTAAATACCAGAACTTGCAATGAAATTTCTGAATCAGTAATGTAGTCCTTTCCAGTGTCTCTCTAAAGTAATATGGATGAAACATTGAAAATATGTAACAAAATTATTTCCTCCATTTAGTAAGATCAAATATTTCAGAATCTCCTTGATTATTGTTTGATTAGATTTGGATATCCATCTGCTTGATTCATTGTCTTTCATTTGCATAAAATGTTATGGCATCCAAGAAATTGGTGGATTTCTGTGTAAGAATAAAAAACACCAACAGAATATTTGCAGCTCAGGGTTGCACTGTTGGGTCCTAGGTGCAAGCCACTAACATATAAAAAAGAAGCAAACCCCACTCCATTTAAGTATTGATGATGTTACCTAGTTGGGTAATGAAGCAGTCGTAGGAAAACCACCAAGCTCAGAGAGCACCAAGGACCCCATAGTCAAAAACTCCCAACAATCACTGATCCACACAGTCATTTTTTAAAATGAGATATCTCACATGGTTACTAAGATTTCAGGGAAGGACACCAAAATCCCACAAAATTTGGTGGTAGCACAGCATTTTGCCCCTGTATTGAATGTAATTCCTCCCCCTCCAAAAAAATAACTTTAGAGACTGGCATTGGTACAGCATCTATGCAGGCATTGGAAAAAATATTCAGATGCTGTGATGTATCTATATCAGAGGGCGGCAACCTTAAACACTTAAAGAGCCATTTGGACCCATTTTCCACAGAAAAGAAAACACTGGGAGCCACAAAACCATTCCTGTGCCTGACTATTTCCTGAGCACCCACAAAACTAGCATATGTATTTGAATTAAAGTTCTGTTTTCTTCTGAAACTTTTCTTTTCTTGGGTTTATCCATGGTTGGCTTACTGGGGATAGAAAAGCTCAATAAATAGCTTGCTGGAGGGTGTCACACATTGGTGGTTGTGAAACATATTTTGAGCAAAAGGAAGCCGCAGCAGAGGGATGAAAGAACCACATGCGGCTCCAGAACCATGGGTTGCTGATCCCTGGTCTATATCTTCAGAGAACAGAATAATGCAAGCAACAATATTTTTTGTGATACACTATGTGACCAAAAGTTCGAGTTTGAAGAAGGAGAATGAAAAGAATATTGATATCTTGAATTTTGGTATTTGAGATGACAAATATTGTGAACATCCAAGAAAACACATAAATAGTTCTTGAACAATTCAATCTGAGTTTTCACTTGTGATACAAATGATCAGAATCAAGTTATCTTACTATGCAAAGATCTACGTCTCTGCAAAATTTTCATTAATTTTGAGATGTATGGAAAGAACTGACTAGTATCAACATTGGACTCTATTAAAGTGATGATGAGTTAGAGACATATCATCATGGAAAAAAAATCTGTCTATGTAATCACTAAAAGTTAACTTAATTGCACAATCAATCAATAGATTATCAATCAATCAAGATTTCCACAAGATACAGTTCATGTGCTCAGTTCCCAAAAGACTGTGATTGGCCTTATCTTCATATATTCAAGTGATGGAAAGGAGATAATCTTCTTAATTAGCCTTTCCTGATGAGTTGACCTTTAGATGTGTTGGATAACATTTAACATTCATAGCAAAAGACAATCTTGGAAAAGATTGTTGGAGATATAAATGCTATTACTGTTGTCAGTTTTATATGTTGAAATCAGATCAAAATTCTAGAATTCAGTCATATTCTTTAGATTCAGGGACTAGGATAAAAAAAATTTAAAAAAATAGATTTTAAAATGGTTTTCTTTTGTTTTTGGATATTTTTTTAAATCTCTGCAGCCTTTTTCTAAATATCATTTCTCTGGCTGTTGGTTCCTAACGTTGATATACATGAAACATAACTGTCCAATATATCATTACCAGGCAATCAAAATCTAAATGTGGGATCTAGAAAAAAAGCATAGTGAAATTGCAAAGGACACACAGTCAGCAAGGAGAAGGAAACTTGTACTTACAATTACATTAAATTTCATTTGCCTTCCTGTTGCATAGTGGAAAAACAGACTAAAGAAGCCCAAACTATGGAAAATAAACACTAGATTCATCATGCATGTGTTTGATAGTAGCACAAAAAAGCTTTTGGGGAAACAGTGGGCAAGGAAATCCTGTGCTTTTTAAAAAGCAGAGAAAGGGGTGGAGACTCTATGGATATTTCATCTTGAAAACCTTTTTTCCCCTTGTATTTTCCTTTTCTCATTAAGATATAGAGATTTTCTTCTAAATCCGCATCTATGATTAGGACATAGATTTTGAGGTCAAAAGCTTCTGGATTACCGGTACTTATTCCAAATCATTCTCCCTATCAATCTATTGGCTCTCCAGGGAGTTTACATTTCAATGTGAAATGAATTTGTCTTTGCTTTATAAAGAGGAAACACAGGAGTATAGAATCCCACTGTACATTTCATATTAAAATCTAATTTGGCAACAGTCTTTTGATTTTTTTTCTCATTTAGCTTTGTAAGAAGAAAAGGCTAAAATTCCAATATGGCAGAATGACTTCACTTTTGAGGCTGCCTCTAGTTTGTGTCCATATTTTTCCTAGAACTTTTTACTCAGTAGGATGTACTGATAGAAAATAACAAATTATTTATCATATTGTTGTAAACCTCACTTAATAAAGGTGTATTCAGCAAACTTCCAATGGGATTAAATCTATGTAATTGCTTGATGGCACATAATCAGTGCAAAGACTTCCATTTGGCTGGATTTATTTAGAAATATTAAAGCAGTTGTGAGCCAGCCTATGCTCACTACATTTGAGTACACTTTTTCACAGCAATAATCCATGGATCCTACCCAGTGACTTAAATGTACAAGTGACTGGGCTCAGCTTCAATTCTATTTCCACCCTGCATCCCAGATTGCACACATTCACAACAGATAAGGTTGCAATCATCATAGCAGACAACAAAAATGTTCTTCCAGGCACATCTTTGTTTTTTATGGAACAAATGTTCTCTATTTCCCAGCACCAATCATCCTCCCTAAAAGAGTTGGATTATGATGAATCTCCTTCAAGTGTAGCAGTAATGGTTGGATAGCCCATTAGTATCCCACAGTTAATATACATCCTTCTGCATATTGCTGCCTGATGCTTCTAAGCATTAGGTCAACTGTGGGAGAAAAATCATTGTTTCTACTATAGGTTACTTTATTCTATTTTACTTTACTTAGCTGACTCTTAAATATTAACCTGGCTCATAATATACTATATCTTACACTGACAAAGACCAATCAGCTCTGTGTAGTTTACAGGAATGTGCATATTCATTTATAACTTCATTTTAGTTTTTACAGGAATTCCATGTGAGTCAGTGGAAGCAAACCAATGAGAGGAGTTGGAGTCCCTGAAAGACGAAATAATTTAATGATGATTTCAACATTTGGTTTCATAGGTATGTCTACTTCATTAATAAGGTTCTATAGGAGTTAAAGACTGCAAAAATTACTTTGGGAAGTGAGACACAACACTCTTAATATAAATCTACAGGTATTTCTCAATTTATAACTGCTCATTTAACAATGGCTCAAAATTACAACGGCTTCAGGAAAAGTATTTATAAGATTTATATAGGGACCCATTTCACACAAGTGACTCTGGCTCACCAAATTAAAACAAACAATCCCAGCAAACATAAGAACCTGGTGCCCAAGGATAAACTATTAATTCCACCAACATGAACAGTAGCCTAGTTTATATAATGCCCTGACTCAAATGCCTGGGAAACTATCAGACTGTCAGTATTTTGCAAAAGTCTCAGAGACTTTTTGTCTCCCGCTTTAATTCTAATGCGGTAGTAAGCCTCCCTTAAATCCAGCTTTGACATTGTTTCCCCTTTAGCATGTCTATCATGAGGGGGGGAGATACATGTTCTTCACACTGATCATATTTAAGTTTCTAAAATCCACACAGAGACATTTAGAGCCATCTTTTTCTCTCTCTAAATAACACTGGGGCTGCGATTTTTGGTTGGGCTGGCTCAATGAAACCCCTTGCTAGGTTTTTCTCAATGAATGTCCTCAGTTCTTTCAGCTCCCACAGGAACATGCTATACATCTTGAGTTTAGGGAGTTTGGCACCGGGTAGAATTTCTATCACACAGTCAATGGAACTGTGGGGGGGGGAGCTCATCAGAGGCTTTTTTGCTAAAAACTTCAGCCAAATCTTTCTATTCTCTGGGTATGTCCTGGGTTGCCATAGTGTAAGTAGGCATTGCTGTTTCTTGGGGCTCTGCCCCCTCAGTTTCTTTGTGTGAATTCTCAGCAAAAGTCACATACATCTGAACTCTTATGGTACCTTGCTTCCAATTAATTTGGGGGTTCCATTTTTTTCAGCCATGCAAGACCCAAAACTAGTGGCCATCCCATGCCAGGCACTACTATACATGTAAGTATTTCTTCGCTCCGATGCCTATCTGGAGAGGCTCAGTGGCAAATGAAGCTGGCTCCCCCCCCTGCTATTGACCCATATAATTGGCAAAAAGCATTACATTAATCCTCAACTTTCATACCAGGGTTGGGCTGATCAAACAGCAGGTGCACTCTGAGTCCACTAAAGCAGAGATTTTTATTCCCCTCTCCCAGTTGCGTATAAACAGTCTAAGGGGGAGAGTAAGTGGTTTAATTGGTTTGCTTACCAGTGGTTCATTCTCTGGATCGCTTCCGGATGAGTATGTTTCCTCCTGCTGAGAAGCTGGGGTTTCCTCCTCAAAGAGGGGAGGGAATGGAGATTCTACAATCTCCCTGCTCCTCAGGGCCGTTTCCTTTCTGCGCTGGCCAGGTTTCATAGGTTTCCCCCCAATGGGCACTCTGGTTTCCTAGCCGGTGCTTGAAAACAGCATTCTGCAGCTCGATGTCCCTCCTTTCCACACTTGAAACAGGTTGAGGGTTTCGGAGAAGATGACATT